ACTGTACCAGCCCATAAGGGGCAAAGGTGAAGACATGGATGAGTGGCTCAGTGAGTTTCCCTTGGCCTGGGCCGAGACAGGGGGTATGGGATGGGCTAAACACAGGCCGCCTCTTTACATTGAACTGAAACCGGGAGCCGAGCCAGCCCGAGTCCGGCAATACCCTATGTCTCAGGAGGCCAGGGTGGGAATAACGCCCCACATTCGGTGACTCCTGGACAGTGGGATTCTCCGGAAATGCCAGTCGGCCTGGAATACTCCCCTGTTGCCAGTGAGGAAGCCAGGGGGGAAGGATTATAGGCCTGTGCAGGATCTTAGGGAAGTCAATGCAAGGACCTTAGAGATCCATCCGACTGTTCCCAACCCCTATACCCTGTTAAGCTCTCTCTCTCCTACGCTGTCTTGGTACACCGTCTTGGACCTGAAAGATGTCTTCTTCAGCCTGGCAATAGCAAGACGCTGCCAGGAGATCTTCGCCTTTGAGTGGCAGGATGATGAGAGAGGAATCCATGGGCAATTAACATGGACGAGATTGCCTCAAGGGTTTAAGAACTCGCCTACCCTGTTCAATGAGGCCCTCCACAGTGACCCGAGTGAGTATCGAGCCAACCACCTGGGGGTAACTCTGCTACAATACGTGGATGATTTGTTATTAGCTGCCCCCGACCCCCAGACCTGCCTAGAGGGCACCAAGGACTTGCTCAGAGTACTAGGCGAAATGGGATATCGGGCCAGTGCCAAGAAAGCCCAGATCTATAAAGATAAAGTCACTTATTTGGGGTACAAGATTAAGGGGGGCTAGAGATGGCTGACCGAGGCCATGAAGCAGACTGTGTTGAAAATACCCACCCCGACTTCGAACCGGGAGCTGAGAGAATTCCTGGGGTCGGTAGGATACTGCCGACTCTGGATTCCAGGATTTGCAGAGAAGGCTCGGCCCCTGTATGAAGGATGTAAGGCAGGAAAAGCGTGGGAATGGACTGAGCAAATGGCTAGCGCCTTCCAGGCCCTAAGAACGGCCATGCTGGAAGCCCCGGCCCTGACGCTCCCAGACCCCACCAAAGAGTTTCACCTTTACATAGATGAAAAGAAGAGGGTGGCAAAGGGCGTACTCACACAGGCCCTGGGGCCCTGGAAAAGGCCAGTGGCATACTTGTCAAAGAAATTAGATCCGGTGGCGGCGGGGTGGCCTGCGTGCCTGCGAATAATCGCAGCCACAGCCCTGTTGGTCAAGGACGCTGACAAGCTTACTTTGGGGCAGAGACTGTTAATCACCACGCCACACGCTATAGAAGGAGTTCTAAAGCAGCCGCCGGGGCGATGGATCACAAATGCAAGGCTGACCCATTACCAAGGGCTCCTGCTGGACGCACCCTGAGTTGAGTTCCGAACCCCCACTGTCCTAAACCCTGCAATGCTTCTACCAAGCCCCGATTCTGCCGCGCCCAACATGACTGCCTCGAGATCTTGGCTGAGACCCATATGGCTCGGCGGGACCTGCAGGACCGCCCCCTTCCGAGCAGCGACCTAACTTGGTTCACGGACGGGAGCAGTTTCGTCCGCAATAGACACAGGTATGCGGGGGCGGCCATAGTCGATGATCAAGGCAAACTTGTCTGGGCGGCATGCCTTCCACAGGGAACATCTGCCCAAAAGGCAGAATTGATCGCACTGACAGAAGCTCTTAGTCGGGCCCGAGGGAAGAGGCTGACAGTATATACTGACAGCCGCTATGCTTTTGGTACTGTGCACATACATGGAGCCCTCTACAGAGAAAAGGGGTTCATCACAGCAGAAGGGAAGGAGATTAAGCACAAACCTGAAATACTCCACTTGCTAGAAGCTGTCTTGCTGCCAAAGGCAGTGGCAGTAGTCCACACCCCGGGACATCAGGGTGGAGACTCACTGGAGGCACGGGCCAACCGAAGGGCAGATGCCGAGGCTAAAAGAGCAGCAGAGGGTGCTGCGCCACCCCACATTCTGCATATAAGCCTACCACCCCCGGGCATGGGACAGATACCTCCTCTGCCAGACTACTCCAGCGCAGATGAAGCCTGGGCTACAAAACAGCTAAATGTGCATCGCCCTGGTCATACTAGTTGGAGTTGGACTTGGGACTGTAGCACCTAGAGGTTGGACTCCATCGCAGAGATGCATGCTAGGCTTGTTTTATATCTTTTATGTGGGTGCTTTGGGGTTACTTTGCTTGTGGGCAGGAGTGTGGCAGCCGTGATAAATAGCAATCCCCACCAACCTCATAACCTCACATGGGAGATTACCAATCAAGAGACTCATGAAGTCTAAAACGTGACTTCGGGGGTAGGCCCCGTAAACGGATGGTGGCCAGACCTTATGTTTAACCTAGAAGAAATAAGCCCCATCAGCGTGAGTGTGCCCCCAGGGGCGCCCGGCCCTCGGAGGCCCCCATTCGCGGTCGGTCTCGCAGCCGGTAGATCGGTGGTGCCCTATTACTATCAGTGAAAAACAGGCATGAGCAGAGCAGGTTTCTTAGCATGCCCAGGATTCCGGCCTGCGAAAGAGAACCGCCGCTGTGGGGGAGTTGTTAACCATTATTGTGCCAAGTGGGATTGTGTCACCACAAATGATGGAGAATGTAAATGGCAGGTCCAACCTTTCCTCATTAAAATGTCCTACGTCCAACCCTGCACAAAAGAGAGATACGCAGCGAACTGCAACCTAGTGAAAATAAAATTCACAAAAAAAGGGAAGAAAGACAAGCGATGGGTAACAGGACTCTCATGGGGAGTATGCCTCTATCAGAGGCCGTACCTCTGCTCTTTAATGGCTATCAAACTTAAAGTTTCCCCGCTCCCGGTGGCAGTAGGGCCCAACCAGGTGCTGCACCCACGGCCGGCCATGGCGCACCCCAAACCAGTGATAAAGTTAGGGACATACCCTACCCCAAAGCCCATGGGTGCAAAAAACTCTCTCACCCTGGGGAGCCCCGTAAGCGTGGTGCCTGAAGTAGAACTTAGAGATCCTCTGTGGAAGATGTTGACAGCCGCATACGAGGCCCTAAATCGGTCCAATCCCAATGCTACCGAGGCCTGTTGGCTGTGTTATGACATATGGCCTCCCTTCTATGAAGCAGTGGGAATGGCCGTCAATTTCAACCTCTCCACAGAAGCCTCCCCTAGGTCATGTCAATGGGACCGTAAAGGCCCTGGTCTCACTTTTCAGTCAGTTCTTGCCAAGGGGACCTGCCTGGGAACAGTGCCACCCAGCCATGCACAGCTCTGTGCCGGGGGTAACAGAGTAATAAATCAATCAGAAAAAGAAAAATGGGTCATTCCCGGGCCAAGTGGATGGTGGATTTGCTCCAAAACCGGTTTAACCTCTTGCCTTAGCCTATCAGTTTTTAATGAATCTAAAAAATACTGTGTTATGGTGTTAGTGTTCCCTAATATACCATACAGTAGAGACCATGTACACCAGCAGGGCAGGCCAACGGGTCACTAACCTAATTTTCCAGAGAAAAAGAGAACCCCTTGCAGCCGTTACCCTGGCCACACTTTTTGGCTTGGGGGCAATAGGAGCAGGGACTGGTATCTCCTCCCTAGCGATGCAACAGAGAGGGTTCAGCACCTTGAGAGCAGCCATTGATAAAGACATCGCAAGAATAGAAGAGGCTATCTCCCATCTGGAAAAGTCTCTGACCTCCCTGTCCGAAGTAGTACTATAAAATTGGAGGGGGCTAGATCTAGTGTTCCTTCAACAGGGGGGACTATGTGCTGCCCTCCGAGAAGAGTGCTGTTTCTATGCAGACCACACAGGAGTCGTCAGGGAATCTATGGCTAAAGTTAGAGAAGAGCTTGCCCGCCGCAAGCGGGAAAACGAGCTGCAGGCAGGTTGGTTTGAATCTTGGTTTAACAGCTCCCCTTGGCTGACTACCCTTATCTCAACGCTATTAGGACCACTAGTAATTTTGCTCTTAGTCTTTATATTCGGACCCTGCATATTAAACAAGATAATAACCTTTGTAAAAGAAAGGGTTAATACAGTACAGCTTTTAGTGTTGCAGCAACAGTATCAGAGGCTTTGGTCAGGTAGCACAGACTTAGAACCTTTAGAAGACCCAAGAGACGAGCAAGAGTGCTCAACCAGCTTCTAAAGAAAGGGGGGAATGTGAGGGGTCGAGACATTGCATACCTGCAAGGCCCACACCCCCAGTGAAGCCAGAACCAACATCCGGCTTCTGGAAACTGTTGCTTGCTTGCTTGTTTGCACCAACCTTGCATTGTTCGAACCCCTGTATAGTGGGGCTACCAGCCAACCAATCATGTTAAAGGTCAATGCATGATCCACGCGTGATCAGCCACTGCATAGCGTATGCACCATAGGGATAAAAGGCACGCTGCAACCCCGATCGGGGTCCTTGCCTACCAGAGTGGCCACTGCGTTGGTGCTCAAGGCTTGGACCCTGGCTAGCCAGAAAATAAAGTCCTCTTGTATGTTTGCATCCTCGGTGTCTCTGTCTCTCTGTTGGGTAGGGTGGTGAGAGGTAGTCGACTCCCAACACACCCAGCTCAGACTGCGATTTGGGGCAGGGAACCTCCTGCCCGGCATCACAGCCAGGGGAGATTCGTTGGCTTGAGGTCCTGCCTGCTGGGAGAGGCCCCAAGGAAACCACAGAATAGGGGAGGGTGGAAAGGAGCCAGGCCTGCTCCAGACTGCAGCTCTCAGACAGCCCCACCCCCACAAACAGACTTTTCAGCTGAGTGGGGCCATTTCAGCCCCTCCTTGGCAGCTTTGCACAGAAGCAGAGAACAGACCTTTGATCCCAGACTACAGCATTTGTGGAGCCTGAGGGCAGGCTCACCCAACCCAGCTCCGCCCAGCCTCACTCCCCTACCTGCCCCACTGAGGTGGAGAATAAGGACACACCTGGAAATCCCAGGGCCCCACCCACCACCCGAGGCACCAGAGTGCCTCTCCAGAGGAACAAGAAATTGAAATATTAAAGAAAAATCAAACAGAACTTCTCAAAATGAACAATTTATTGAGGGAATGACACAACTGAGTGGAAAGCCTCAAAACGAGGGCAGATCAAACCCAGGAAGAATCTGAGGGCTGGAAAATAAACTTTTGAACCAAACAAGTCTCTGAACTGAACACTTGGCCCCGAAGCGGCCTGGCGCCGACTGCCAGGAGCACGGGGTGCGGGCCGCGCCGGCTACTGCTGCTCCGGGCCGTCCGGGGTGGCTCTGACGAGAGCCTTTGGGGGCCGCTGCTCCGGCGGGGCGGGGGCGGCGTACTTGCTGCGCGTGTATCTGAGCACGGCCTTGTTGCCCGCGGACACGGCGAACTTGCCCATCTCCCCGGGCAGCGTGAGGCGCACGGCCGTCTGCACCTCTCTGGCGGTGATGGTCGAGCGCTCGGTGTAGCGCGCCAGCCGGCCGGCCTCCTCGGCGATGCGCTCGAAGATGTCGTGGACGAACGAATCCATCACCCTCACGGCCGCAGGGGACAGGCGGAGGTCGTCGTGCACCAGCTTCAGGACCCTGGGGAAGTAGGTGGCGAAGCTGTCGCGGTCACGGCTGGAGCGGCGGCTGCGACGCCTCGGCTGCTTCTGCTTCTGGGTCGTCGTGGACGATTCAGCCTCTTCAGGTGCCTGGGCCGATTCGGCCTCTTCAGGTGCCTGGGCGCCGGGGCAGGCCTCAGAGGACAGCTCGGACGAGGGCTCGGCCATGGCGGAGACAGCAGTCGGGGCTCTGGAGAAGCGAAGATGGAGGCTTGGGGCCGTTGGGGACCCGTTTTCCCGCGCTGGGCTCCCCTACGTCACGGGCCACGTGGCCATTGACTGGATGGAATGTCACGAGGTGAGCCTATCAGAGAGCCTGGCTGTCCTGAAGGTGATTGGATGGTGCTCCTGTGGCTGGGTGTGGCATGCACCTGTCACTGCGGGCTCCTGCCGTCCTAGGAGCGTCCTGTTGCCTGACTCGGGGAAAGTCACCAAGATGCCCCACACAGCAAGAGGTCATCCGACCATATCAGCTGACTGATGCCACATCATGAGCTTTTGAAAGACATCACTGTAATCTCCAAAACTGTAGTGATTTCAGTTCCTTAAGAGTCTGCCCTCCAGAACCCAAGTCCATGATACCAGAAAGTGAAGTATGGCCATGCTCGGGACATTCCTCAGAATCTGTTGTAATCCTTGTCTAAGTCACCCTGATATGAACAGGAACTGAAGGACGTGGACTGCAGAGAGCACTCTGGAAGGAAAGGGACCTGGCTTCCCCACTCCTGCCTCCAGTTATGATCACCCCTCACTGAATCTAGAAGAGGACTATGGCAAAATCACAGTCTCTACGCAGAGAGTACAAAAAAATTGTTATATTTGAAAAGTATATAAGAACATTGAATATTTACCAGGTTTAATACTGGATCTTAACAATAGTTAGCTCCTAAAGATTGTCCTACATATTAGAAATGGTGAATACATATGAGAGCTGTTGCATTTTTCAAAATTCCTAAATTCTTATAAAATTAAATCTCACAGAAACTTTCTTATGAGGAAAAAGGGTATCAATAATATAGAAATGTTTAACACTTGTGAGAATCTATGATAATATGTACAATAACATTTTCTCAATGTTTTTATGCAAAAACAAATTGCACAAATTGACCCCCAAACAGATGTAAGAAGTTGCATATTAATCATGGTTGAAAGAAGGGAGAACATGAATGAGCTGTCATCCCCAATGGTGAGGGATCCAATGGTGTTTTCCCTTAGACATTTAAAAAACAGCTAATTCTACTGCTAACAAAAAATGCCTAATAACAAAATCAGCCCAGATTATGAGGAGAAAAATGTAATTTTTATTTTAAAACATGAAAAATCAGTGAGGAAATAAAAACAATTAGACTGTTGATATCACTTAACTCCCATGAGAATGGCCTTTATCAAAACGTCCCCAAACAACAAATGCTGGAGTGGATGTGGAGAGATTGTAACACTCTTACATTGCTGGTGGGACAAAAAATTAGTACAACACCTATGTAACATAATTTGGAGATGCCTCAAAGAGCTAAAAGTAGAAATATCAGTTGATCCAGCAATCCTACTACTAGGCATGTACCCAAAGGAATAAAAGACATTCTATAATGAAGACATCTGCATTTGAATGTTTATGGCAGCATAATTCACAATTGCAAAGATATGGAAACAACCCAGGTGCCCATCAAGACATGAATGGATTAACAAATGTGGTATATGTACACCATGGATTATTATTCAACTACAAAAACAATGGTGATCTAGCAACTCTTGTATTGCCCTGGATAGAGCTTGAGCCCATCCTTAGAAGTGAGGTATCACAAGAATGGAAAAACATGTACCACATGTACTAGCCATCAAATCAGTACTGATTGATCAACACTAATGTGTTCACATGGTAGTAATATTCACTGGGTGCCTTTCCGGTAGGCGGGGGGTGTAAACTCACAACTAATGGAAGAAGAGAACACTGTAAGGGGGAAGGGCACACTTGTAGCCCTAGCTTGAGCGAGGCAAAAGCATTACATGTAACCAAAATATTCGTACCCCCATAATATGCTGAAATAAAAAAAGGAAAAGTGCCAAGTGCAAATAAGTATATAGACATCCCACTTGAAATATTAGCAATGAAATACTTCTCAATTTGATGCAAGGATACAAGAGACATGTTGTGCTCCCAGCCACACATAGAAAAAGTCAGCTGACCACATCATCCACATCATCTGATTGATGAAACACCATGCAAACGTTGATGAGAAGCCACAAAAACAGCATGAAGTGTAGAAATTTCAACTTTGCCTGTTTGAGACAGCCTGACCTTCATAATCCAGGTCCATTATGCCAAGGGGAATGATTCTGGCCATGATGGGCCCTTGGTCTTCTAACTCAGAATCCACTTTTGTCCTGGGCTGAGCCATGTAGTTTAAGCAGGAATTATTTGACATGGTGACTGGAGTGCTCTTGGAAATCAAGGGAGATGGCTGTTCAAATACTGGTTTGGGTTCCTATCAAAACTCTCAGTAGGCCCCCATGGAGCTTGCTGAGCCCCGGCGGCCGCGGGGCGCGCGCCAGACTCTGGGGAAGGGCCAGGGCGTGCCTCGGGAGAGCTGCTGTTCCATTATGCCTCAAAGCCCCGATTGGGCTAGGCTGGCGGCCGCCCTCCCCTGGCCTTTCCTTTCCCCGCCTGGTTGTGGACGAGTGCCTGCGCTCGCGCCCGGGGGCGACTCTTCGGATTCAAGATGACCAACAAAGAACCTCTTCCCAAAAAGGTTCGACTGAGTGAGATAGACTTCAAAGTTATGCCACGAGATGAGTTAAGTCTAAGATGGAAGCAGTATGATGCATATGTACAAGCTTTGGAGGGCAAGTACACAGATCTTAACTCTAATGATGTAACTGGCTTAAGGGAGTCTGAAGAAAAACTAAAGCAACAACAGCAGGAATCTGCAGGCAGGGAAAACATCCTTGTAATGTGACTAGCAACCAAGGAACAAGAGATGCAAGAGTGTACTACTCAAATCCAGTACCTCAAGCAAGTTCAGCAGCCGAGCGTTGCCCAACTGACATCAACAATGGTGGACCCAGCGATCAACTTGTTTTTCCTAAAAATGAAAGGTGAACTGGAACAGACTAAAGACAAACTGGAACAAGCCCAAAATGAACTGAGTGCCCTGAAGTTTACGCCTGATAGGTAAACAAATCATACTCCCCAGTCAAGACTTCCCTGACAGTCCCAGTACAAGAAAGCTGTGGTGGGACAGCCAAGTACTCGTTTCCACACCAAGACTCAGACTTTTTGAGCCAAAAAAAGCCACATTCTTATACTGTCCAGCTTGTAATGGTTAATGTAAAACTTACCAGATGAACCTTGTGTTTCAGCTTTTTTCTCTTCCCCTTCCCCTTGCTTCAGAGGCCTGATGCCGTCGGACTATTCCGAAGAAGTGGCCACCTCGGAAAAATTCCCCTTCTAGGACATGTAGACATTTGAGAAATTGTTTCTGTTTGAAGAAAATAGAGGGGGAAACAGAAGTCTTAAGTCTGTGGCACAGTGTGTCTTCAGACAATTTGGAGGAATGAAAACCTAGAGATTTTAAATCATGAATTGAACATGTAAAATTCCAGTAAAATGTAATAATGGAATATGCATCACTCTTAACCTGGAGCATAGTGACTTAGAGACACTGTATATCAGTTTTGCCAATAAGACTGTGGACTTAGGCCGGGCGCTGTGGCTCACGCCTGTAATCCTAGCTCTTGGGAGGCCGAGGCGGGCGGATTGCTCAAGGTCAGGAGTTCAAAACCAGCCTGAGCAAGAGCGAGACCCCGTCTCTACTATAAATAGAAAGAAATTAATTGGCCAACTGATATATATATAAAAAATTAGCCGGGCATGGTGGCGCATGCCTGTAGTCCCAGCTACTCGGGAGGCTGAGGCAGAAGGATCACTCAAGCCCAGGAGTTTGAGGTTGCTGTGAGCTAGGCTGACGCCACGGCACTCACTCTAGCCTGGACAACAAAGCGAGACTCTGTCTCAAAAAAAAAAAAAAAAAAAAAAAAAAAAAGACTGTGGACTTCATGATTGTTGTTGAACTTCTGGGTCAAAACTCAAATGAGGTGAATTTTGCCTTTAAAGGGATTATTTACTAAGAATCAACTTTTAATAGTCATGAGAGAATCAAATGATAGCTTTCAGTACAAGTAGTACATATATTTAACCATTTAGTTTGGGGCTCTGTTACTTGATTGAGCCTTATATCAATGTGGTTTTAATGAATGGTTTGTTCTTTGAATGGTTGCAAAAACTGTAGATAATCTTATTGAGGACTGTACAAACATGAAGGTGTGGTATCCAACTTCAGGTTTAAACTGTTTGAAGCATTATAAACATTCATTTCATAACTAGATTGTATAAGGGTATTGGCTGTGATGAGACTCACTGTGTTATTTTTTTCAGTAGCAAACTATGAAATACACATTCCATTCAACAGGCACATGTTAAAAGAGCATTGTCGTTGGTGTTAATGGGGGAATGTGTTCCTTCATTGTATTTTGATCTTTTGTATTGCACTCTTGATATTAAATTAAATGTGCCTTGAAATAGTTGTTTTTAAGTTAAAAGAATATATGATGATTTTGTTGTACTCTTAACATTTTAATTTCGGGGGGGGGGCTGTGGAGAGCAGATTGCTTTTGGAAATACTGTTGCTGTGCTCTTCAAAGTGAAGGAAAAGGCGCTGTGTCTCATTTTTGAAAGACCTACTTTATTCCAACTGATATCATAAAGGACAAGGAGACTTGACACTTGTTACTTTTTGACACTTTGTCCCAGGATATTGCAGTAGAAATTAATGTGGGACAGCTTCACAGGGTGCCTGCCAGAAGATTATGTGTTGGAATTGTGGGCTGGCCTAAGTGAGACATTTTGTGAATTGAAAAAAGGTATAGTGATCATTTCTAGCAGATTCATTTGATCATTTAGATAAAAGGCATTATTTCTTCATGCTTCCATCCAATCCTGGAGGTGAATTTTTTTCATCAGATCATTCTATAAGTCACCAGTTCAAATTTTCCGCTTGGTGATAATGGAGTCTAAGATGAGTGGAAGATAAATGTTCCAGCTTGTCCCAACGTTTAAGTACAGTTTTAACAAGGGTGACTTAAGTTCTCTCTTAATCATTCAAATCAATTCCAAACGGGGAAAAAGTTAATGGCGAAGTGTCGAATGCTTATCCAGGAGAATCAGGAACTTGGAAGGCAGCTGTCCCAGGGACGTATTGCACAACTTGAAGCAGAGTTGGCTTTACAGAAGAAATATAGTGAGGAGCTTAAAAGCAGTCAGGATGAACTGAATGACTTCATCATCCAGCTTGACAAAGAAGTAGAGGGTATGCAGAGTACCATTCTAGTTCTTCAGCAACAACTGAAGGAGACACGCCAGCAGTTGGCTCAATACCAACAGCAGTAGTCTCAAGCCTCAGCCCCAAGTACCAGCAGGACTACATCTTCTGAACCTGTAGAACAGGCAGAGGCCACAAGTAAAGACTGCAGCCGTCCGGCAAATGGACCAAGTAATGGTAGCTCCTCCCGTCAGAGGACGTCTGGGTCTGGATTTCACAGGGAGGGGAGCACAGCTGAAGATGACTTTCCTTCTTCTCCAGGGAATGGCAATAAGGCTTCCAACAGCTCAGAGGAGAGAACTGGCAGAGGAGGTAGTAGTTACGTAAACCAACTCAGTGCGGGGTATGAAAGTGTAGACTCTCCCACGGGCAGTGAAAACTCTCTCACACACCACTCAAATGACACAGACTCCAATCATGACCCTCAAGAGGAGAAAGCAGTGAGTGGGAAAGGTAACCAAACTGTGGGTTCCCGCTACGTTCAGAATGGCTTGGACTCAAGTGTAAATGTACAGGGTTCAGTTTTGTAATATTTTTCCAGAAAATTTTTATACAGTGTCATTTAATTTGGGAGAGGATACTGTCTAGAAAATTAATGCATACTTTTGTCACAATTTGCCTTTTTGTTGGTGCGTGTTTTTTTCTTGTTTGTTTGGTTATTATTTATTTTGCTTCAATACCTCTGCCACTTTGGAAATTATAACAGTTAATTACTTTGAATGTTGCTAAAAGGACATTTTGTGTAGGGTCAAGTTATTTTTATATGAGTTAATGTGAAGTTGTAAATGGAAATCTTTTCGTAAAGTATAACACAATGATGTCTGTATAAATCTATGTCTATCTAGAACCTGTGCTGTGTAAGGGCATTCTTACTCATGCTGTTATTATACTTATGCACCATTCAGACTTGTTAGAATAGATGTGGGTTTATAACTGCCAAGTTTGCCCAGTACAGTAGTTTTTTTATCACTAAAAGTTGGACTTGTTTATGGAGTCCTATAGTAGTTTCAGTGTTAGATACAGTTTTTTCCACCACACATCTGTGCATTTTCTCTTTAGGTGACTGAATGTTTAAGAAATTTGTGTGCATAGTTACTCAGTTTTTATGAACTGTTGTATCCTGTTAATGCATATTGCTCTGTGACTCCAGTATATCTTACCTGTACTGACCAAACCTAAATAAAGATTTTTATTGTAAAAAAAAAAAAAAACTCTCAGTAATTGGTAAAAGTGGAAATGAGAAAACACAGAGTCTAAACACAGAAACAAACAGAAATGAAGACTTTTTTAAAAATGTGAACATCGTGAAACATTTATCAAGATTAAATTTTTTCCTTCTTGTTACTTAGGTCATAAAAAATACACATTGGAATGGTGAATATATATAATTTATTAGTTGAAAAAGTAAATATCACCATAATTCTTTAAGAAAGCACCATAGGGAGAAAAAGAAAGCCAATAAGCAGAAAATACTTTGTAATTAAAACATATTCTTTTCAAGATTCTCTGATAATACTTGTAAAGATATCCCTTAAGTGTCTTAGTATGTAAAATTGAGTTACAGAAATTGAACCAAAAAGAGAAAAATACCTAAGAAGAAATGAAGAAATGGAGGTCATCTTTAGTCATCATGCTAAATGGTCAGGATTCCAAGGACGTTTTCTGTCAGACCTGTACGGAGTAGCTAATTATGCTGATAATAAAGCAGTTCCAGATTATGAAGGGAAAAGAGCTCATTTATTTTTCTAAAAAATATGTGATGATAATGCTACTGAAGAAATCATGGTAATCTCATTTCTGAATAGTCCCTCTAACAGATGAGGACATAAAATCCTACTTGAAATATGAGCAATCAAATCCTTCTTTTAATTTGATGCAAGGGACAAGAGACATGTCCATTACAATCTCTGGATTCGTGTCATTAAATCACCATGATTAAAACCAGGAAAGCAGGCAGGGTGTGGTAGCTCATGCCTGTAATTCTCCCACTCTGGGAGTCCGACGTGGGAGGATCGCTTTGATATCAGGAGTTCAACACCAGTCTGTGCAAGAACGAGACCCTGTCTCTACCATAAATAGAAGGAAAAAAGAAGTATCTGGTGCAGTTGTGTGCACCTACAGTCCGAGCTACTCGGAGGCTGAGGCAGAAGGATCACCTGAGCCCAGGAGTGTGAGGTTGCAGTGAGCTTTGATGATGCCACTGCACTATAGCCAGGGGAACAAGACAGACTCAGTCTCAAAAAAAGAAAAACAAGAACAACAAAAAAAAATGGGAAAGCAAAGAAACAACAGGGAAAGAACCACACCAATTTCCTCCACTATATCCAAGGCTGAGCATTCCAGGAAGCTCAAGTGGTTCCTCCTAGGTCACTCCCATTTTACCATTTTGGCCATGGCAAGTCCTTCATTGGCAGAGCCAGTGACAACCGGGGCAGGAGCTGCTCTCATGAGATGTTTTCATCATCCATGTGATGCAGATTGACAGTATTCAGTTCTATCTTCTTTCTTCTCTCCTTCAACATAGCAATAAGCATTATTTCCACTATTTTACACAGTAGTTGATTTTCATTCACCCCTATTTGTTAATCTATTATATTTGCATTCTTTGTGTCTAGAACCATCTTCCTATGATCATATTCTTCTTAAATGACATTCTTGAGGAACTGCTTTAACATGATGACTGTTGGTATAAACACAGTGGGTTTTCATGTTCTCACATCTCTGCTTGAGAGTTAGGTTCTGCAGGAAGCTGACACTGAGATGGAATTTAGTGTGCGGGAAAATCATTCAGGAGCCACGGCTGAGGGAAGGACAGAGGAGGCAGATGTGGGCAGAGGGAGAAATGCATCTATCATGCATGGCCAACAAAGGCCTCTTCTGATCCCATGAGGAACTATGAAGATGAGAGGCTCATTAGAGTTATTTCACACTGGGCAGAAATAGCCAGGTCTTTACCCTCCCTCCACAATCAGGCAGTCAGTAGGAGCAATGTAGGGAAGCGGGTGTGTGAGCTTGGGTAAGGCAGTGCTAAAAGCTGACGACTGGCACCTGATTGTGCCCCTAGCAGCTGACAAAGGCAGTCTGTCTTTGAAAGGGTATGGTCCATCTGAAAGTTTGTCATAGACTCCTCTTTAATAACAGTTTGGCTAAGAATACAAAAGTAGTCCACAGCTGTTTACTCACAGATATTGCTTTCATTTTCCATTTATGGACATAAGGTTGACTGTCATGTTGTTATTCCTTTACACGGTATGTGGGGTTTTTTATATTATTTTCAATTGAAAAATCAAAACTATATTTCACTTATGGAGTACAACTGATCTTTTCCTATATGTGCACAATGTGGACTGATTAAAACAAGCTAATTAACTTATACATCACCGTCCCCCCTGAAAAAAATTATGAGATTTAGCAAGAACAGTATTAAAAGGGTAGTTTACAATAATAAATGCCTACATCAAAAAGTGGAAAGGTTTCAAATAAATAACCTAAGATGCATTTAAACAACTAGAAAGGAAGAACAAACCAAGCCCAAAATTAGTAGAAGGAAAGAAATAACAAATATTAGAATATTCAGGTACAACCTGGGTAATATAGTGAGACCTCATCTATAAAAAAAAATTCAGAGAAAAATAAACAAAATTGAGACTAAAAACGCAATTCAAAATACTAACTAAAGGGAAAGTTGGTTTTTTGAAATGAAACAAAATTGACAAACCATTAACTAGATTAACCAAGAAGAAAAGAAAAAAAGACCTGGAGGAATAAAATTAGAAATGAAAAAGGAGATACTAGAACAGATACCATAGAAATATGAGCCATCATAAGGGACTATTATGAACAACTTAGAAGACCTAGTGGGGAAGGATAAATTCCTGGACATATAAAACCTACTAAGATTAAACTGAGAAGAAACAGAAAACCCACACAGACCAATTACTAGTGACAAGACTGAATTAGTAATAAAAACCTCCCCTCAATAAAATGTTTAGGACCTAAATGCTTCACTGCTGAATTCAACCAAATATTTAAAGAAAAACTAATGCCAATTTTTCTCAAACTCTACCAGAAAACTGAAGAGGAGGGATCTTCCAAACTCATTCGACAACACCAGCATTACCTGATGCCAAAATTACACAAGGACACAACAAAAAAGAAAACTATTAAGCCAATATCCTTGATGAACATAGATGCAAAAATCCTCAATAATATACCAGCAAACCAAATTCAACAGCACGCTAAAACGATTGATCATTCACCATGATCAAGTGGGATTTCTCCTAGGGAGGCAAGGATGGTTCAACACTTACAGATGGTTCACTCTGTAAATGTGATATACCACATCAACAGAATGAAGAACAAAAACCATACACTCTTATCAATAGATTTAGAAGAAGAATTTGATAAAATCAGCATTACTTCATGATAAAAACTCTGAACAAGATAGGTATAGTAGGAAAGTACCTCAACACAATCAAGGCCACATATGACAAACCCATCAATAACATCATGTTAAATAGGGAAAAGTTAAAAGCTTTTCCTTTATGATTGGCAACAAGACAACTTATAACTTTTATTCAGCATAGTGCTGAAAGTCCTACCTAGAGTCATTAGACAGGAGAAAGAAAGAAAGGACATCCAAATTGGAAAGGAGGAAGTCAAATTGGCTCTGTTTGCAGATGACATGATCTTATACATAGAAAACCTTAAAAGCTCCACCAAAAACCTCTTAGAACAAATTACAAAATCAACATACAAAAACCAGTAGCGTTTGTGTACACCAACAGTGAACTAGCAGAAACAGAAATCAAGGAAGCAATCCCATTTACAATAGCTACGAAAAAAAAAAAAAAAAACACCTAACAATATATTTAACCAAGAAGTTAAAAGATCTCTGCAAAGAAAACCATAAAACAGGGATGAAAGAAATTGAAATTGAAGGGGACAGAAAAAAATGGAAAGACATCCCATGTTTATGAATTTGAAGAAATTACATTGTGAAAATGACCATATTCTCCAAAGTCATCTACAGCCTCAATGAAATTCCTATCAAATGACAATTGACAATCTTCAGTGACATAGAAAAAAAATCCTCAAATTTATATGGAACCACAAAAGACCATGAGCATACAAAGCAATCCTGTGCCGAATGAACAAAGCTGGAGGCATAATACTACCTGAGTTCAAAATATACTGCAAAAGTATAGTAACCAAGACACCCTGGCATTGGCATAGAATCAGACACACAGACTAATGGAACAGAGTAGGGAATCCAGAAATAAATCCACACATTACATACAGCCAACTCATTTTGACAATATATAAGCAACTCTAACAAATCTATAGGAAAGAATCAAATAATCCTGTAGTCACCTATCTGCCATGAGACATTACAAACTTATTCGCTTTGCCTCTAACTCGTGTGTTTGTATCGCATTAACCAACCGCTGTCTCTTCATCTGCCCTCCTCCCCAAACCTGGTAATTCGTCAATTCTTCTCTGCACGTCCATGCAAGTAAAAAAAAAAGAAAAGAAAAGAAAAAA